TTAAAATTAAATTAAATTAATTAATTAATTATTTTTAGGTCATATGATAGGTGAAATGAAAATCAGGCACTATACCCTATGGGAATCACACCACTGGTGTTTAAACCAAAAATTTAAAAGTCGAACTCAAATCTTTAGTTTTTGATTAGTTTCTCCTGGACTTTACTATTTCTGTGCAGGCATAGTGGGGTGGGGTGGATGATGAGGGAGAATCTGAATTACCATCCTGGTCCTTTTTCAGAAAGAATTGCTGAGGCTCTATCAAATGTGTGGCAGAGATTTGTCTAGGTTCAAGAAAATCAATATGAAGTTTGATTTCACAAATTCAGTGATGCCCTTTCAAATAAGTCTTGTGTACATTTTGGGGGAGGAAAAATGTTTGCGGTTCTAGAACTTTGAAAAATTAATTAAAATGCATGTTTTCATGTTCTGCAAATTGATCTGAGCTGTTTTCATTGACACAGTAGCAAAAAAAAAAAAAAAAAAAAGGCATTTTTCTTTCATTCATACTTCCTCATCTGTGCACAGAACTTTGATCAGTGTGCCCCGTAGTACAGTCCAGGTCGTTTTCCTGAATTTCAAAAGGGAGACCCGTGGGCAGATGAGTCTTGCTCCTTCTAAGTGTCCTTATATTCTTTGGACATTTCTGGATGCTCCTCCCCAGCTTCCCTGGTCCTGCATCTGTAGTGGGGTCGGGGGGCACTTTCCCCACCAACTCCCCAGCCTGAAATCCCCGCATTTACTTTATCCCCTCCTGATCCACTGCCAGAGCACACAGTGCAGGAATATAAAAGGCAACTCAGAGCACCCCTTGAGACCAGGCTGAGTTGGACTTCCTGAAGCGGCTCCCTGGCTTGGCTTCCTACCCTTGCCCGCACGCCCCTTCCCTCCTTCTCCGTCTCATCTAAGGGCACCTCCTAAATCAATTACCAGCTTGTGAATCTTCATCTCAGAGTCTTCCCCAGGAAACCTTATCCTCCCTGTAAGATGATGTTGTGGGAACTAGGGGAGAGGAGCACACGCCAAGTCCTTACAGCGCTTGGCCACAGAATATTTGCTCAAAAATGTGAACTCTTACGGTTTGCACACCAGTGTTTTGGACACCAGGAAAGTGAGTGGTGCCAAGCCACGTTTGGAACATTACGGATCCATTCTGTTGGGCAAGGGACATTTGAATAAAACGTAAACATTTGAATAAAGCGGAAACATTTGAATAAAACTGAAAGAGCATGTGTGAAAGTCCATCTTTCTACACCTGCGGCCTCATCCCTGGCTAACTATGCAAATGCCAGCAAAGGATCAGGGTGCAGCCAGCAGCACTGGCATTTGTGGGGAAAGAGAGCACATCCATGCTTTTCCTTTTTTTATTTTTGAAAGGTTGGTAAGTCTCTTTCTCTAAGAGTTGGAAATTTCCGATGTCTGGCTATTTACTGTAACGATTACGTATTTTTAAAGAAATCTCTCAGTGTCAGGTATAGAAGGTGAAGGGCTATCTTGGCGATGGTGACAGCAGGGTTCAAGCGTGTTAGGAGGGGGAAGGCACAGAGACAGAAGCCACAGTGCTCTCTCTGCCATCTATTAGGTGGTAATGAGACTAGGAGGGAGGGAGAGTTTTTACATTCGAGAGAGAATTTGTCTGGGTCTTCTGAGACAGTTTGAACAATGCATAGAATTTATACTGGCAGGTCACTTTTTTTTGAGATTTCATATGCATAAGAACAAAATTAGAAAGTAACCTTCAATGCGTGTGTACAAGCTCACAAGGGAATTTTTCCTTCCAGCTTTAATAAGATATAGTTGAAAAAATACAAATTATATGTATTTGGCTGAGTGTGGAGGCTCACGCCTCTAGTACTCAGGCAGAGGTGGGAGGATCTCTTGAGCTCAGGAGTTTGAGACCAGTCTGAGCAAAAGTGAGGCCTCTTTTCTACTAAAAATATAAGAAATTAGCTAGGTATTGTGACAAGCACCTGTAGTCCCAGCTACTTGGGAGGTTGAGCCAGGAGGATTGCTTGAACCCAAGAGTTTGAGGCTGCTGTGAGCTAGGCTGAGCCCATGGCACACTAGCCTGGTCAACAGAGTAAGACTCTGTCTCAAAAAATACATTATATATATTTATGGTATATAACATGACATTTTGATAGCTGAATACATTGTGAAATTAGATCAAGCCAGCAGATTTTTTTTTTAGGCAGAAAACTAGAGTTGGACTATTCAAGAAAGAAAGACTTTCTTTCTTTCTTTCTCTCTTTTTTTTTGAGACAAAGCCTTACTCTTCTGACCAGGCTAGAGTATGATGCCCTCTGTAGACTGCTGCATCACAGCTCACAGCAACCTCAAATTCTTGGGCTCAAGGGATTCTCTTGCCTCAGCCTTCCAAGTAGCCAGGACTACAGGCACCCACCACAACATCTGGCCATTTTTTTGTTGCAGCTGTTATTGTTGTTTAGCTGACCTGGGCTAGGTTCAAACCTGCCAGCCTCAGTGTATGTGGCTGGCACCATAACCACTGTGCTACGGGCACCGAGATGATTCAGGGGGCTCTTAAAAAATCATCTTGCCCTCCTGCCTTTTCTGAGATGACACTGAACACCAAAGCCGGATGGAGCGGAATAACTCATTATAATAGCTGACAACTTACATGATCAGGAAAGCCTCTTTGAAGTCTCTCAGGTGACAGGAACACACCTAATTTCTCTTCTGCTGGTCAGAGGATAGCCAGGCTGTGGGCTGGCTCAGAGCCTTTTGGATTCTGTGACTCTTGAATTCTGTCAAGTCCTACTTAGCCTTAGTGCTGGGGTAGGGAAGAATTTGCATCACTGAGTTCAACGGCCCAACACACATCCATCACCTCAGAAGGCCTGATTCAGTACATCTGGAGTGGGACCTGGAATCTCTTTTTTGGATCTGGACCCCAGGTCATGTACAAGTAGGGTGACTGCAGGATGGAGGAGTGGGCATTGACTATTGGTTCTATCACCTGTAGAATGGGAGAGGACAATGTGGTAGATGCCATCAACGGGACACTAGGCAGCCCCTGGAAGCAATGGACAGGGCACACATACAGTAAAATGGGTAGATTTCCATGACAGTGTGGAGTAGGAAAAGCAGATTGCAGCATGGAATTTGTTCTGAGACACCATTTGTGCAAAGATTGCACTCATGAGACAACACTGTATTAAGAAATACCCATGTGTTTAAAGACAGCTGGAACACACCTACACTGGAAATCCACATCACTATGATGGCCGATGGAAACAGTGAGCAGTGGGTGAGGTGCTTCACGTCGGCTACTGCTGTTCATAATACTTTCATATCTATGGATGGTTTCTACCCAAGAGTCATCTGTTCATAAATTATTTCCATATTTCATAAAGTCTGTAAACATCTGATGAGCATTTTAACTCAGTAAAAATCCATGCATCTACATAGCTTAAGTAAAAAAATGCAATTTAGAGGCATTGTCAGCACAGGGTGGAGGGTGGGAATTTTCAAATACAGCCAATGGGAATGACACTGCGTCTACAGAAGCTCTGCTCTTACAGGGCACCAGTGATGCCGCACCAGTGTCGTTACTTCTCAGTCTAAACCTTTCAAGTTGCATAGACCTCTTGCTTCTTAAGTGGAAATTCAAGAGAAAAAAAAGTCTTTACCATAAACTGAATTAAGCTGTGAGATATGTGGCAATCTCATAAATTAGCACTCTGAAAGAAAGAGTACTTAAGTCAGCTCGTGGCTTTGCTCAGGCGCCCTTCTCCTGCCTTCCTTCTTTCCCTGCCTCCTCCTCCCTCCCTCCTTCCTTCCTTCCTAATTGCCTTTACTCTTTTTTTTGTTATGCTCTTTATTGATTACTTACACACACATATAAAACAAATGCATTCTCCCTGGTTAACTTTTACCTTTGCAACTTTTATGCACTCATCAGTTTTCCAGAAAAGAGAAATTGTGGCCACTTGTGCACCAGTCTCCACCTAGGAAATATGTCTCTATCCATATTTATATATCTATATCTCAATTCAAGAAATACCTAATTCAAGGGCAAATCTTCAGCTTGCAGATAGGCATTCATTTCAGAAATGCTGCACTCCCCACACAACTTCCACAAGGAAGATTCACTTTGCTTTTGCCCGTGACCAGCAGAATTCATTCTACTTAGCCCTTCTCAGGGTGATGAAAAACGGCTTTTCAACAGCTGAGAACTACCATGTAATGGAAGCAAGTGTGATTAAAAAAAAAAAAAAAGTCTTAGAAATGTTGACTTTTGAGGGTTCACAATGAAAATGTTTGAGTTCCCTCTAGAGCAGTAGGATTTGTGGTCCTCAAAATGCCAATACAGGGGTGTTGAAATCATTGCTGATTTGCAAGGCATCACCCTAGGAGAAAATTAGCCCAGGACTTTCAGCAGAAGCCTCCACTGGTATGCCCACTAAAGGGTGCCACGAATGGGAACACCTCCCTTTAAAAGGTGGCACGGTGCTGGAAATCTCCTTGTCTTCCTTTCACAGCTCTTTCCCACAGTGATCAATTCCTTCCTGTGGGAGTTATAGTTACCTGCCACTCACAATAGTTCCCCTATGAAATCTGAAGATGACTCTTCCTCCTTGTGAGGTTGGGTAAACATTACACTATACGGAGTCCTGAAATTGTTCAAGTTTTTCCCAAACGCTTTCTCAGACCTTCTTCTGAAGAAAAGACTTGTGCATGAGCCCACCAACTCTGACCTTTCACTTAATAGCTGGCAGAATTGTCCAAACCCAGATTATAATAAATCCATTGGGACAGAGTAGTCCATTTCCCAAGGCAGCGGCATGTCTAGTGATGTAGTGTATTAGTCAAAAGCAAGGAGCCAGACACTCCATTTACATGACAGAACTGGAATATCTGCTGCATTCAAGCTGCTTTGTTACTGGAGCACACGCAGACCCACATGACCCAGCATCAAAAAGCTGTTAAACTGCACACAGGACCCCATGGACGTCCTTAAAACAAACCGGGAGGCATTTTGTAGCTAAACAATTTTATTGGCTTTTCTTTTTGTGAAATAAAAAACACACAAGAAACCACCATGGTTAAAGGCCATAATCAGCATCAACCAAATGAACCGGCCACTTGGTTATAGCAGCTGACAACACCACCAGTGGATATTATTGCTTATACCCCAAGTTCGTTTACATGTCCATGACATTTTGGCAAGATTACAATCAAATGGGAGCTTTGGTTGTAGAACAATTCAACTATGACTACTCATTGAAAACTCAACCTCTACTGTTTTATAGATGATAGGATACATGCCAAGTCTTCCTGAGTCTTGACATTTACCCTTTCATTCTGTCTCCTTTCTCCTTTCAGTAATGATTTACAACCCTATCGAACAAAGAAAAACTGAAGGTGGATGCATTTACAGCTGTTCCTATGCCACTGCCTCCTCGATTGTCATGAGAGGGTGATGCATTTCTGGGCCTCTTCAAAGCTCTGGTATCTAGCGTGTTTCCACTGCTGGTAATAAACACAGCCATCTGTAATCTAGATAGATTTTTTTCAAATGCATATGGCTGTCAACATTGGGGTTTGGACTCAACTATCTTTCTTCCATCTTTTCTGAAAAGCTAAACAAACAACAAAAAGTAAAAAGAAGAAACAGCCCTTAGCATCAGTAGGTTGACCTTCCAACAGAATGAGCCCCATCCCCTGCCACACAACAACCCGTGACAGGTGTGGATGGAGTCGTGGCCTGAAAGTGCTCCGTGCGTGCCTGCACGGTCACATTTTACTTTACGGAGAAGCAATGACTGACAGCCTCACCAGAACTCCCCTGCTCTACACTATTTTAAAACTGAAAATGAAGGGTCAGAACTAACTCACGATAGCACCATTTCCTAGACTCTTGGAATTAGATTCCTTTCTGTGCTGGAGAATGCAGGGACCCGGCCTCCAGCTTTGTGCTTTCACAGGCCCTGCTGAATTTCAGCAGGAGTGGGTGGTCTGCCTTGGCCTACTTCTGCAGCGACACAAAATTTTCCCTGGGAAGAGTTAAAAATAGGGGTCTTACAAAGTGAAGTTGGCCACAGGTGAGAGACCTGAGGAAGCTTCGTTTCTGGTGGTGAGATGTGACAAGCCTGTAGATGGCGGGACGGAGTCCGGAGACTCTTGCCCATCTCAATTCAAGTCAGTGGAGAACTGCATGCAGAGGCATGGCAAGGTCAAGGATACTGAGAGACACAAACCCTAACACAGCAATCCAAACGCCGATGCACTAATGGTATCGTATGTATTCAGGTCCACCAGTGAGTTTGCCCTGGTAATGCTGGGATTGAATAAGCCCTTTCGGTGATTATAAAGATTATCCTCTTGGATCTAGACATTTAAACAATAGAATATTTGATATCACTATATTTTACATGGCACATATAACCATATAATTATAGCACTTACATGGCAGATATTGTAAATAACACATTCTTGGAGGTGATTTGGTAACTATACCCATGTTACTTAGCAGAACAAAGATGAAACACTCTCCAACTCGCACTTGGGGGATTTAAGTCCCAATCCTTTCCTTGGCAACAAAAGGATAACCCTCTAGTTATGTAATAATGCTTGGTGGTCATGTGGGCAAAAGGGAATCACAGGGCGACTTTGTGGTCAATTTGTGGCCTGTAAAATAAAGTAATACATAGTATTTTCATTTCAACAAAATACAAGAGACCATATAAAAATATTTTCCAATTTGGAATCAGAAACATGAAAGCTGGATTTTTTTTTCTTTGTATAAAAAGAAACAAAATAACAGACTGAAGTTTATTAAGCCTCCTAACAAAAAAAAATATATATACATATTAGGTTAAGGAATGCAGTGAGAGTCAGCTTCCCTTTTTGTCCAGGCTCATGGATGGTGAGCTTGTGCTTTGATCCTAACAAAGATAAATGCACAACAGTGGAGGAAGGTCAGTGCCTGAAACCTGAACTACATCATATCTCTAAGAAGAAGACTAATTTTACAGTAGTGCTTTTAAAAGTGGTGTTATCAGATTACTGATTTTTTCCCCCCTCTTCCTCTTCAGGCGACTGCTGGAGATGAATTCCAAAAGCACCACTTTCGTCTCGAGTGATGTTTTTTTAGTGCAATATCTTCTTTTTCTCGTTCCCTTTTCACACGCTGGTAGTGGTCTTCCTCCTTCAGGTACCACACAGGAGGCCAGCGGTGCCGCTCAAAGTATTCCTGGTTGTCTGGGGAAGGAAAGACGCAGAGGATAATACCTGCTGTCACTACCTGTTTCCACGTGCAAGGCTTGGAGCTTCACACTGCTCAAGGAGCCTCTCGACACCTCCATGGATTGTGATTACACAAGGTGACACTAAAGAGTTTTTTCTCTTTTTTTTGAGATAGAGTCTCACTATGTTGCCCTGGGTAGAGTGCCCCGGTATGTCATCATAGCTCACAGCAACCTCAAACTCTTGGGCTCAAGCGATCCTCCTGCCTTAGCCTCCTGAGTAGCTGGAATTAAAAGCACCCACCACAACAGCCAGCTAGTTTTTCTATTTTTAGGAGAGACTGGGTCTCACTATTGATCAGGTTGGTCTCAAACTGCTGAACTCAGGTAATCCACCACCTCTGCCTCCCAGTGTGACTAGAGGATTCTTTTCTTCCTTTTAAACTTGAGTGTCACCTGGCCAGTAACACTCAAGTTTTAAGAGGAAGAAAGAATCTCTTGCCTCTCTAGTTACGCAATTGGGCACAGAGAACCTGGGCCCTGGGCCACTTGCCTTCTGAGGCTGAGTCTGCTGCTCTGTCTGCTCCCTAGACAAGGGGGTCCTACTAGCATAGCCCACTCTGCACCCACTCTGCACCTCAGGAGTTCACCCACCTGAGTCTCCAGGTGTGAAGGTCTCCAAAGAGAATCTGCAGCCTACAATTCCTGGTATCATATCCCATGACTCTGTGACTGCCAGCCAGTCTCAAGGAATTGTCCATGAGCTGCTGGCTGCCCGTGTTCCCTCCCAGGGACACGGAAGGTGAATGCTTCACCCAGGGCGGGGAGAGAACTGGATGCATGGGGTGAGCTGGGGGGTGGTGGTTGTGTTCTTCCCATAGTCTCACCTGCAGACTTTGATTTGATTTCCTTGCGGAACTTGGAACAAACACTGTTGTAGTTGGTGCAGATGTGGTGCAGGCACCAGGCGGCCAACTGGTGGGCGTTGTGAAACTGCAGAAAAGTAACCAGAAAGGGGTGGGTCACACTGAATTTTCTAAAGTGTGGCTACAAAGAAATTGTAAGCCATTATAGGGGTGAAAAGAAATTCAGGCCTGGTATAATTAATTTAGTAGATCTCTTGTTTTGAACTCACTGTTTTGACTGGGCACATCTCGGAGCCCAGCCAATGTAGTGTTGGGTACACCCCTCCCTTTCCCACTGTGAGAGGTGCACCCAAAATACTCGCTATATCAGATCACCAGTTTAAAGTATGCCTTGCTCTCTCGCCCTCCCCCGTCACCATCACCTGGCCCTCTAGTAATAAATGACTGTGGCCTCTGGAAGGCCCCAGCCAACAGCAGACAGCAGCGATGTCATCTCTGTTTAAAGAAGCTTTGGCAACAGAATACTTCGTGTCACATGTCAGAGCTCAGCTTGCTGGGGCCAAAGATCCGAAAGAGGAGACTGCAGCATGTGTGACCGTGCTATACCTGTCCTTTGGTTACATAAGAAGAGCAGCAGTCTGGACAGGGTGGGAGGGATCCAAATGCTCCGCCCTTCCTTTCTGAGCACTGCCCGGGAAGGTGGCAGCTGAGGTCACCATAACCAAAGAAGACCTAAGGCTCAACAATCAGTAGTCAACTCCCTGCTCCCACCCAGGTCTGGCAGGCTCTCCCCACCCCTCACCTGCCTGCCTGCGCTCATCTCAGACATCCCTCCCTTTACCTATTGCTCTTGATATTTCTCTGGTCAAGTGAAACCCTGGAACCTACCTCGTGGCTCCTCTGCGGCCGTATCTCTGTTGAGAGGCCAAGGAAAAGCCAAAGACTCAGAGGCCAACCGAAAAGCCAAAGACTCAGGAAACCACTCGAGAGACTCTGAGAATCGCAACCTCGAATGTCAGAGACGGTTCTAATAGGTGCTTCTTCTAACTTCTTTTTGTTCTTTCTTCTCCTCCCCCCCCCCCTTTTTTTTCTTTTAAGACCGTGTCACACTCTGTTGCCTGGGCTAGCATGTGCAGTGGTGACAGCACAGCTTACTGCAACCTCAAACTCCTGGGCTCAAGTGATTCTCCACCTTAGTTTCCTGAGTAGCTGGGACTACCGGTGCCTGCCATCATGCCCAGATCTTTTTTTTTTTTTGTATAGAGGTGTCTTGCTGTGGTACTCAGGTTGATCCAATTCTTGGCCTCAAGTGATCCTGCCACCTTGGCCTCCCAAAGTACCATGATTACAGCCATCGCACCAGCCTCAGCTCCTCTGGATGTTAGATTTCCCTCTGAATTCTGGGGCAGTGGTATGCCAGCTTGGCCTGTACTAGCTCGAGAGAGCCAACTGTGACTCCCTCTTCTGAGTTCAGTGACTTCATGTTTTACAATTGGCTGTGGTGGGAGGATCTGCATCACGGAAATTGGAAAATGCAACAGATAAGGGTCCCACCTGTCCCCAGGCTGACCGTTACACACTTGTCAGCACATCACTGGGTTAGGGTCTAGCAAATGAGCTAAGACATGTGAGCCTCTATCCTAAACTCTTCCTGCCGAGGGTTGCTGGGGATTAGCAGTACCATAATTGTACTATTTTCCTGCAGAGTGTCTGTGTGGTGGAGTGGGGGGCACACAGGGTAAGACACACAGAGCAAATAAACAGACAAGCTGCAAATCCCCAGCCCTGTGTGAGATTCTGGGTCCTCCCATTTGCTCCAAGGAGAAGTACTTAACTGGAGGAGCATCAGTCATAAACTGTCCCCCAGGCCTGTTTCTAGAGACTCCAAGTTCCACGTGTGGACAGCCAGTTTTGATGGGGGCTTGCTGATTTCACTGCAAAACGTGTCTGTTCTCAGAACCTCTAATTGGATTTTAATAATTCTGTGTTTGTGTCTGTTTCTCTCACTGGCTTAGGATTATCCCAAGGCCAGAGAACCAATTCTCATATGTACATGTCCTCTGCCTGGAGTGGGGCCAGGCACTTGTGGAGAAAGTAACAAATATTTGTTGAAGGTTAAGTCAGAACGTATAGGTTCCTGTGAAGTTCTAGTCTACCTCTCCCGCCTTTTGAACCTGAGCTCTTTCCACAGTTGGAAGGTCCCAAGCACTACCTGCTGTGTGTCACCTCCTCTCCCTTGATGGAGAAATACTGATTTAAACTACCTGGACTAAGACTCAGTAAGCCACTTCTCTAACTTGGAGAGGGAACAGAACAGCAAGGCCAGCCTGAAGACAAGACTGAAGAACTGATTCTTAGTTCCCGCAGGGCATCAACTCATTGTTAATCAGTCTAGGCCAGGGACTAGATAATTCCACCAACGTGCCCACATCATAAGAGGGTTTCCATTCTTTGGTACTCTTTCTCGAATGTTCTCTCCCTCTTGATTCTCAAAATAATACGTAAGATGGGAGGGTGTGATGTGCCTTCCCCATTTTTTTATGGATGAGGAAATTGAGGCAGAGTGTGGCTCTGTGCTTTGAAGAAGTTATTCAGTGATGGAGCTGAAACTGCATCCTGGACCTTCTCTGGAGGAACAGTGCAAGTGTGCACTGGGATTACGGAATTACAATCTCAATACTCACAATTACTGACTTTAGAAAACTCCAGAAGAGCTGCAGTGAGATGGCCTTTAACAGAGAGGCATTACAGGGCTTCATGGAATTCTAGAAACTGTTCCTGGCCAAATACATGTCCAAGAATTCACAGAAGGAGAGACAAAACCTCCCCCTCTCATGTCCTCCGTGTGAAGCTGGTGCCTTAGGGGACAATGGGATTGGTGTGGGGGAAGGGTCCTTGTTGTTTTTTCAAATGAAGCCCAGCAGGCTGAACAGTGCCCGAAATGTAAAACTCTCAGATCTTGGTAGACACAGGGGGCCTCTGTGACTCAGTGGTGACATCTTTATTTAGACAGATGCAACAGTGGAATGTTTTATCAGCATTAAATGAACTGGTTGAACACACTACAAAGGTGAAAAGCAAACTGTTACGAACCTGGGCCAATTCCAGATAAGAGAGCACTTCCCCATCGATGCCCACGCCACTCATCGCGGCCTTGGTCAGCTCCTGAACGGCGTGCTGCTCTGGGGAGGAGAGAGGGGACAGGAGGGAGTTAAACCACACCCTGGAAGCCAGGTATCTGGCCTGGAGGGGTTGCTCTGGAACTGCTTCGGATGGAGGAAACACGGAACACAGCTCTGGGCCGCCAGGCACACTGCATCCAGGGTTCTGACCACCTCTCAGGATTCAGAGTCCTGGTCTCCAGCCACCGTGTTGACATCTCTGGGGAGTCTTGTTTGTGCTTCTGAAATAGCCAGAATCCTCCCAACCTGCACTGTGCTGTCCAGGTCGGGAGCCACTGGCCACATGAGACTACTTACACTTAAATGAATTACAATTAAATCAAATTAAAGGCTTAGGTCCTCAGTCATGGGCTCTATGATAGTGGAAAGCAGATGTACAGCATTTCCATCCCTGCACAAAATTCTGCCAGACAGTGTGACTCTGGACAGTGTAGCACCTTCCTAGAAGCCTCTAGATTCTGGATACGCTTCTGTTTGACAGTTTCTCCACTCACATTGCTCCAATTCTCAATAACCTCTGACAGTGGGGGGGGATTGAGTGACAGAGGAATAAGTCTATTTAGGGCAGTGGTTCTCAACCTGTAGGGCGGGACCCCTTTGTAACAATGAAAATACATCCTGCATATCAGATACTGACATTATAATTCATAACAGTAGCAAAATTACAGTTATGAAGTAGCAACAAAAATAATTTTATGATTGGGGGTCACCATAACACGAGGAATGGTATTAAAAGGTTGTGGCGTTAGGAGGCATCAGGAAGGTTGAGAACCACTGATTTAGGTGGTTAGGTGACTCCATGTGTCTATATCAACAGCTGCAGATGGGTGGTGTCTTGTTCAGCCTCTTGGATGCTAAAGACTGGGGAGACCCTCAGTCAGAAGTAACCAAAAACCAGTGGGGAGAGCCAATTCTGTCGGAATGCTCAAGCTGGAGGCTTCCAAGCTGAATTTAAATTGTGGTCTGAGGCTGAGCTGTCTCTTGCCTCCGTGTGGGCTGCCACCTGCCTCTGGGATAGACATGTGTGGGTACAGTCTCCGCTCAGCATTTTTAACTTTCTGATGTTGATGTCATCTCCAGCACTGCATTTTTTTTTTCTAATTCAGTATATTGTCCAGATCAAGCTTACTTTCTGCTCTGGTTCCAATGTGCCTGGTAGTCAGTGTGTCCAATCCGGTCAGTATGGTCTCTGAAACTGAATACTGGGCTTTGTAATTTTAAGTAACTGCAACATTCTTGACACTCATTTAGCGCTGGCTTGCAAAGCGTGGTCACCCCAGAAACTGACTTTTAAACATCGTGTTCTAAACGCTCTACGCCAGACAGTACACAACACGAATCATTAAAGGAATCATTTTAGGAAGATGGATATCAAATAATCATAATAGGAATAACAGCATTTAATAAGGAAACTATAAGTAGAATTCTGGAGTTCACATGAGAGGCTTTATTTGGGTCAATTAAAAAAAAAAACAACAAAACCTTTCATGGAGAAATTAATGCCATTGTTTTCATTGCCAGACTTAATATTTAAGCAAAAATGGTACTACTCTGAAATTGATCACAAACCTTTTTTGACGGATTTGGCTCCACATTACTTTTTTTTTTTTTTTTTTTTTTTGCAGTTTTTGGCTGGGGCTGGGTTTGAACCCGCCACCTCTGGCATGTGGGACTGGCGCCCTACCCCTTTGAGCCACAGGTGCCACCCTCCCCATTACTTTTGATAATTAAAAAAACAAACCAACAAATTTGTCCTGAAAGGGCAAATATTATAAAGCCTATGGCTAAGTAAAAGGGATTGGAACTCATATTTCTAAAAACAGCAGTTTTGCACTGTAGCCTCCTAGAGGTAGTCTTTAAAAAGCCATACATGCACTTGATCTATGGCTTCAGATACATTGGTTAAAAGTTACAAAAAAAAAAAAAAAAAAACTAATAGGGATTTTCTTTCCTTCTATCTAATCAGAAAAAAAGTAGGAAAGAGAGGACTTTGATTCCCAGGTGGCTGTGTGTAATAGACACCTGGGGGACAGAGACATCAGTCTTTTTTGTAAAGACATTGCCAGCAAGTCAAGTGCAGACAGGACGGGTTGGTTTATTCCTATGTTCATCGCCATTCATCAATTATTCAACAGTTATTTATTGAGAACCTAATATGCTCAGGTACTTTTCTACGGACAGGAGAAAGGCCAGTGACTAAAACAGGTGCTTTCTGTCTCTGCTTTCAGGGTTAATAGGAATCAACTAAATACAGCAATAAAAACCCAGGCTGCGAATTAACACACCTTTGGTAAATGAAATGGAAGGTTTAAATTCAAGAAAACGGTATTATATCTAAGTGAATATATTTTATCTAGACTTGTTTCAGCTTACCAACTGAACAAATCTAAAAATGACACATAACATTTTGTGAAGTTAAGCCAAGTCTCCCTTTTTTCTCTTTCTCCCAAAATGAACCTGACAATGTCAGAACATTTTCTAAAATAGCTTCAAGAAAACCACTTACATAATGCTTACTACGCGCCAGACACTGTTCTAAGGATTTATATATATTTGAGCTCATTTAATCTTCATAACAACTCTATGGTACAATAATAATATCCCCATTTAAAAGGGAGAGAAGGCTGAGACAGAGCTAAGGTTAAGTAAGTAAAGGACAAAGTCCCCTCATCAGTACAAGGTGGAGCTGGGATTTAAACCGAGACAATCTGGCTCTGTTGTCTATGTTCTTAACTCCTGCGTCTACTGCCTCTTTCTTAAAGATGTGTCTGTGCACATCTTAGGGGGATAATACTGAAAGGATAGTTTTATTCCTAATTCCAGGGAGCACAAATGATCCAGCAAGCACAGAGCGTCTGCCTCAAGGGCAGGGGTCACGAATTACTCATCTTCACGTGTGCATCACCTAACAGAGCCTACCACAAAGGCCGGCTTAGGAAATACTTGTGGAATGGAATTGGGCTCTCTGACACCATTTGATCTGTTCATATTGTCCTGCATGAGACAGTACCATTTGGGGAGAGAAAAAATAAATGTTTATTCCCCGGAAATCTTATTTTTATTTAAATGTGATTTTGATAAATACTGACAGTCGGATACTGTACAGCCCGGAGTCATCAGCCTTACCTGCAAGTGCAACCAAGTGTGGCAGGCAAAATCTGTTTGCCAAGGCAATCAATTCCAGTGGGTCCAGGTCCAAATTAGGCGACAACTGCTTGGTATAGAGATAATCCAATACTGCTTGCATTGATATCTTGTTTATGTTCGGGAGGTATACCTGAAATGTTATACAAAAAGCTCAGTTCTGCTGAAGAAAGCCGGGAGTGGGCACATTTTCAGTGTATGCTGCTTATAAATATATCCCAACTGTGTGGTTCTATATTGATGAGTCTCGGACACCTGCTTTGAGGCTGTGCATAGAAGTCATTCAGTATTTATGGCTTTCAACACAACCGTTTGATTTGTAGATGACAAAAGAGTGGAGCCGCCTGACAAAGCCTGATTTGGAATTTTTTAAATGGCTATTTGGACATATAAATCAGACAAATGGGCTAGAAATGTATGATGACATTAGGGGCCTTCCTTGCCAAGCACCTTATAATGCTCTATTGTGGGGAAAGAAATCTCCTAGCAACGTGACAGGTAGGGAGGGAGAGCTGCAGACCACGCTGTTACTGACAAACGATAGACCTCAGCTCTCTATGATGTCAAAACGGGTTGAGCAACCGCCCTAGCTGCTGCAGTGACCTGCCACAGTGACTGGCTTGATTTCGGTGTTCTATCAGTATAGGCTAGCACGATATATACACTACGTTATTTTGTCCTCCATCCACAGAAATTTAGAACTACTGGCAGATTATTAGGTACCAGTAGATTCAAGGATCCAAAGGAACCCTTGCCTGGGACATCTGGGGGAATATGATTATGGTGAACCGTGCCCACAGCATTTAGCATTCCCCAGCCTCCATCCTGAGTACCTGTAGTTGTTGTCTATCTAAAAGCACACTAGAGTTTGCCAGGGAGCCAGGGACTGCCTGGGAGGAGGAGCTCTGGATGGTGGGCATGAATCATGGAATGTAAGCTGCATAGCAGCTACTCTTTATTTGAGGTCTCTAACTCACTCCACAAGATGGGCCCCAGAGTATTACAGAATGGTACTGCTTGTGTTTACTGTTAGAATGCAGATGATTACAAAATTATCATTCAATAAAGGAGGCATGCACCAGGCACCGAGCTAAGCTTTCCACATGCATCATCTAACTTGATCCTGGTATCTGCCACTGGAGGGAGAGACTATTACCTTTTACAGACAAGGAACTTGATGTTCAGGGAGGTTAATTAGGTCTGTGTCCAAGGTCACAGAGCTAGTCAGCAGTGACTGGTATATAAACACAGGAAGGGCCAGGGTGGCGGCTATACCTGTAATTCTAGCCCTCTGGGAAGCCAAGGCAGAAGGACTGCTTGAGTGCAGGAGTTTGAGACCGGCCTGAGCAAGAGAGAGACCCAGTCTCGAAAAAACCCAAACAAGCCAACCTCTCCCCGCCAAAAAAATCAAGACACCAGGGACTGTTATGCTGAAATCTATGTTCAGAATTGCTGTGCAGTATTGAAAACTCTTAATGCCAAGGAAGGAAAGGTTTGGGCTACAGAACAACAAAGCACCATATTTTACTAGCACAGTTTTTAAAAATTGGACTTCTAATTCAAAAGGGTAACAGTTATAACTTCTTAATTCTGGTACTCAATAAAAATAAACTTCTATGCAGCATATAAAGCAATGCATCTATATATTATAAATGGCATAACTATGTATTTACATGATTATATTTAAATATCATATGATTACATCTCAATATTATAAATGGTATATCTCTATATTTACATGATTATATTTAAATATCATATGATTACATCTCTATATCATAATTACTGCATTCCCCTCTCTCTACACACACACACACACACACACACACACAGACTCACTTGTATACAGTCATCCCTCCATATCTACCGGTTACACATCTGTGGATTCAACCAATCACAGATCAAAAATATTTGGAAAAAAATTGGATCATTGGGTCTGTACTGAATATGTACAGATTTTTTTTTTGGTCATTATTCCCTAAAAAATACAGTGTAACAACTACATACATAGCATCTGCAATGTATTAGGTATTAAAAGTAATCTATAGATGATTTTAAAGCATATGGGAGGATGTGTGTGAGTTATTTGCAAAACCAATGCCATTTTATACAAGAAACTTGAGCATCTGTGGCTTTTGGTATCCAAGAGGGGTCCTGGAACCACTTTCTCATAGATACCAAGGGACGACTAAGTGTGTGTATATGTGTGTGTGAGATACACACACACACACATATATATAATCCATACAATACCCAAGTTTGCATTAATGTATACAGCTATCATTTAATAAAAAAAAATCCATACAATAACTCCATACTCTATAGGAGGCTCATGGCTTATGCATTCTAGTGGTGTGGCTCCAAAATTGTTTAAGTTATAGCAACCTTCTCTGTGACTCTCCAGTGTAGCCTCCAGCTGCCTCCGAGAGGGAGCATCCTTTGATAGAAGTAAGCCCATCCCTTAATGCAACATAGGGAGGGGCCAAGAACAACTCCCAAAGATATCCAGAAGCTTGCTCTTCCCCCACCCTCAGACACAGTTGGTGAACACAACAATCACGAGTCCATGAATCAGTCACAGGGTCATTACCATCACTGATCCGACAAGCATGAGCTTTTCAACTTTCTACCACTACCTTCTATAATAGACAGAACTTGATGAGTAGAAATTATTACTGATACCATTTAAAATAAAGCAGCTGTGGTACATGCTGGGTTAGCTGTGATATTCAGATGTTAAAATGTTAGTCTTCCCTTCAACCAGCTGTATCTATACAGGAATAATTACCTGCTATTCAAGCGACTCTGACACTGTTATGTTTGTGTTATGCTGACATACGTATGTGCCTATAGGTACTTGCATTTATCTTATACCATGTGCAAATGAATTTATTAACAGATACACACTCATTTCTGTGCGTATGAATACATGGTAAAATTTCATTGCTTTCGGATGATGTTTGGATTAGTACAATTTTCTAGATAACTGAAAATTAATTAAGTGGTGAAACAAATTTGAACCATTTTGATAGTGAAAGTACCCACATTTTACGAAGTGCTAAGTGCTATAAACGTTAGTAATTGTTGCTATAAGAAATCCCAGTGCTTCTGGCAATCTCTTCTGCTCTGTCAGAGATAGGGATGTTGCTGTTTCTGCAAACACCACCATCAAGGACTGAGCAAGAGTCTGGGGCAGGCCCAGGGATATATCAATAAAATGCTGTGTGACGTTTGATAAATCACTCAGCCTCTCCCACCTTCATTTTCTCCATCTTTTGTATGGGACACGTTTGGAATAGGGGCTATCTAAAGATTTTTCTTCCTCATAGAGATTCTGGGTTTTGAAGAGCTTCAGAATGTCTTACCATTTTTTGGCAAGAGTGTGTTCTAAGTCATTTCTTGAAGAAAAAAAAAAGCCTGCTAGAAAGACAAATAGTGAAATTGACATCCTAAATTTTTAAAAAATGCTGACTTCTGGCAGCAGATGACTGAGCCGAGGGAACAGCCCTGCCCCAATACTCCCAATGTCCTCAAAGTGTTCTGACATTTGTAATCACCCCTGAGCTGCTGTTTCCTTTTCACTGAACGTTTTTTTGATGTGATGGCTCATTTTGGCAAATAATGTTAGGGACCCTTATAAATAACTGTCCAATAAGAAAAACAAAAACACTTTGAGAATATAAATTTTTTTCCTCACGGATGATCTTCTTTAAAAAAGGCTATGATTTCAACAATTATAATTAATTGTATGGCCACAGGGAGAACTTTTGTGACACTTAAATATACACATATATATATATATATATATATAAATGAAGATACAGAAGAAATGGAATAAAAAAATTTGCATCTTAACTGCTGGATATAGCTTTAAAAACAAGAGTAATGAAAGAGAATGTAATGCTACCTTAAACAATGTCCCACATTTCAGTTTAGTTGGTTTAAAAATTGTAATTGTGAAGATTAGCTCAGTCTATCAGGCTTGTAATTAGAGATGGTCTTACAGAGAATGAGAGCGTATTCTAGATCCAAAGCATTGCTTACTATAACCCGGGCATGCATTTTTAATGAATCACTTGCTGAGTACCTCTGGGGAGAGAATTATGCTTACTGCTACATTAAAAGCTATGAGAAAAAATATAAGTAAAATACAATATCTTCTTGAATATTAAATGACAAAGAAGTTACAGTAAGAATCAACGGACATGAGCATATTTTGTTCTTTTTTGAATATGCACTGAAAAAAAGGCTGAATTTCATGGGCGAGTCCGATTTTCAGATCTTCCTGAGACAATTAAAGGCGGCCTAGAAAGGCAAATTCCAAGCATGAACATGAACCTAGGTCAAGTATTTAACCGACTGCCTCATCCTTACACCTATAACTCCCTCTATCATAGTTTCCTTTTTTAGAAAGGGAACCGGGAGCTGTTTAACTCAGGCTTTGGGGGGCGGGGAGAACAGACTTTTGACCCCTTAGGGAAAGAATTTAATAAGAATCCTCTAGAATAACAATCGCTATTATTTATTGAGCATTTCTCTGTGCTCGGCATCAAATTCGATGCTTTACACATGTACTTTCATAAGCCTTCTCTGCCCTTTGAAGAAGGTTCTCTTGTCTCCATTCAATAAATTTTATAGAGAGGGTCAGTCACTTGCCCAAGGTCAGGCAAAGACTTGAGTTCATGACCACTCTACTGTGGTCTACATGGGAAATAAAGAGAAGGGACAGCAAAGGGTGGAATGTCAGCAGCTCGTGGCAGTCTTAATATACCGGCTAAAGGAATTTGGTAGAGACCTTCAGCTGCTTGGTGCCATGGTCTTTGTCTCTTGGGCTGGTGTGAATACATACATTACCTACCCAACAGCCTCGGGTGCATTCTGAGCCGTGAGGGACCTAGTCTCTCCAGGAGGGTGTGCAAACAGGTGGCTGCCTCCCCGAGAGGCTAGGAAACGATCATACGATCATACGCATGTGCATTCACATTCACTGCCAAGTTTTTGTTTTGGTCACCTCTACTGCACATGTTAATCTGGAGACGATTACAGTCCATTCTGGGAAGGGATAAAGAGGATTAGCATCTGTGAGGTCAGCTCTGACAGTGTCCCTTTGTGCCTGGGTTCCTGACCTCGATCAACTTCCCCCTGCTCAGCTAATAGCAGGCCCTCTGCCACACAGTCAGCACCGCACTGCAGCTAAGCTGGGGCCCCCAGGAAGCCAGCCTTCAGCCCTCTCTCCAGAGATCACTGAAGTTGGCAAAACCCCAGCTGGATGAGGTTTTACAAATCAGTGGCTACCCCCAATTTTTCTTGAAGTAAGAGGGAAAGAATACTATCACCATCAACAACCATCAAAATGAGACCAGTGGCAGGGACCTTTTAATGGTTACGAGACTCTGTGCCAGTATTGAATCTTATGCCTCATATCACCACTATGGGGAATTATTGTGTTTTCCAGATGGGGAGACTGGAGGTCAGAAAGGTTAAGTCACTTTCCCAAAGCCACGCAGCTTGTAAGAGGAGGAGTAGTGACTTCAGCCCTATAGCCACTTAACTGGGTGAGGCCTCCCCTAAGCTGCGGGTCGGTCTTCTTAGTAACAACAGCTCCAAGACACATTTGACCTCACAGGAGAGATTTTGATTAGTTACAGGTGAGGACCTCTTGGTGCATAAAGGCTGGTAAACAACAGAAGAAGTCACAGGGATAATATTCTAATGTCTTTTCCCCAAGAGCCCCCAAGAGCCCTAAACTGGTTGGTTTTTAGGAGCAGTTGCAGTTTGTTCTGGAAGCAAGAGAGCGCCCTAGTGACCTTTTCCACCCCAGCTATCCCCAGCTTGTGATTCTAGGATTCTGTTTCCCTACTTGGGGATGCGAATGTGAGCTCCTGGGTCACAATGGGAGTGCTCCGGTTTCCCGTGTGAGCGCCCCTTTTGAAAAGTTAGCTATTGTGTTCTGTATTTCTTTTAGAAGTTTGGAGAGATGTTGGGATAAGCAAAACAAGCCCCTTAGGGCAATAAACTTCCAGGGGTGTCCCCATAGTTTTTTAAAAAAAGATGTTAAAAAATACTTGTGAACCTCAACAAAACTGCCCACTCACTCCTAAGGTTAGAAATGCCTGCGTGGATTCCCCCCTCTTTCAACAGAGTTTGTGAAAAGATAAAGAGGTAGGCTCCCCCCCGCCCCCATTCATTGCAGCACTATCCACAATAGACAAAACCAAAAACAACTGAAGTTGTTTAGTAGTTACTGATAATGTATGTTTCAAAATAGCTAAAAGAGAGGATTTTAAATGTCTTCATTATAAAGAAATGGTCAATATTTCAGGTGATGAATAAGCTCACGCGCTTGATTCGTTCATTTCACAATGTATACGTGTATCAAAACATCACCCCATAAATAGGTAATTGTTATTCATCAGTTAAAAACAAAACAGAAAGATAAAGATACAGCATCTCCAAGATAGTGTTTGCTTTGTTCTGAGAATACTCCTCTACTGGAGACAGAACCAGTGGCTGACCAGTGAGCCTGCCACTTCCGCTGGACCGAAGTGCATCTGGGGGCACGTTCAGACTGTAATCATTTGCCCTGTTACTGTCTCCCTAAAGTCAATGAACTCTCACATCCCCTCATCATGGGCGGAGTGGTCAGGGCAGAGTCCCAGAGTGCCGTGGCGCATGTGACCTCACAGGCAATCTCGTGAGTCCCTCGTCTTGCAGATGAGGAGACTGAGGCATAAGGATGTGGCTTCTTAAGGTCTCCTGTCTGGTTAGAGGTGACTGAGCCCAAGACTTAAGTGACTGAAGAGCTCTTTCCACTTTCCTGACTACAGGAAGAGAAGCTCTGCTCCTCTGATACATGATCTTGATACTACCTGGCTGGTGCCATCTGTCTTCATGGATGACAGCGGTCAGGAGGAGGGCTATGCTGCACGAGATGCACACAGGGGCTCCCACATGGGTGACCAGTGAGCAGCAGCTCCTCACAGATGCAGAACTGAGAAAAGGGTGACCTCGCACATAAGCACTGCTTCTAAGAACTATTTCACCGAAGCCGTCATTTGGTTAATTAAACACTTCATACACACACGCATGCACGCACACTCTCACAGAGCTAGGACGAGGCTTTCCGGAAGGCACTTACCTCACTGTTGGCACTTTCCACAAATGAGCCCCCAAACATGGCGGCCATCCATTCGCAGCTACAGATTAGCAGGGGCTTGTGGGCACTGATGGCTCCATCGTCCAATTTAAATGTCACATCTGTCAAAGGATCAAGGGGACAGAACTGTGAGCCAGCTTCACCAAGACCTTCAACTATGGCTTATTTCAGGACACTCCAAAGTGTCCATCAACCTCGCCTCTTACTCTCTCCTTGATGTCTTTACTCCTTGATGTCAATCCTCATCTTTGGCACACCCAACTCCCAAATTAAGGAGCAAGCCTTTATGATTCCACCACACAAATTCTCTGAACCAGAAAGTAACAGAAAGGAGGAGTATTTTCTCCTCCTTCTTATCAAGAAAAATTTAAACATATGCAACCGTGGAAATAAGTACAACGGTAACTCATTTATCTGTTGTTAACCTTGTGCTATGTCTCCTTTAGCTGTATGTGTATTTTTATATATTTTTATATATGTGTACAGACTTCTAATAGACAGCATGGCCCTTCACTCCTTTTCACTCCTACTTTATCATGAATTCTCTAAAAATAAGAACATTTACCTAAATAACCATAGCATTTATTATACTGAAGAAAGTAAAAACCAATTCCCTACCATCATCTACGATATAGTTTGTGTTCGAATTTCTCCAATTATCCCGAAGTTGGAGTTCATAGATTTTTTTTTTAAGTCTCTAACTGAGGCTCCAAACTTGCACTTGGTTATTACGTGTCTGTAGTAACAAGAGGGTGATTTAACTGACTTGATTTAAAGTCCCTTGTTTAATTTACAGTAGTTTCTAACATATTCTTTTCATTAACTGTCAGCTTCTGTACCATGATGGCCAGGGCTTGGAGTAAGTATCACTCAAAAGCTTTGGGATTCATGAACAGATTCAGTGGCCACTTACTAAGTGTGTAGTCCCATGGCAGGGATTATAAAAGGTAGAAACCAAAATAGAGTCATCCATATAAACAGAAGTCAGGAAGTCAACGTACAATGAAATACATACCCACACATGCACATACCCACCCAGAGGACAATTTCAGAGCAAAAATAGTCCAAGTGTATAGAGCAGTACTAGCATGGGTCAGGAATCCGCACTGGACACAGGCCACCAGTGCCCTTAGCAGCTATGGAAGGGCATTCTGGGTACACACAGCGAAGTTACCAAAGGCAAAGGAGGGGCAAGAAAACTAGAGAAGGGCAGGACATGGGCAGAGAAGGAGAAGGGCTGGAAATAGATGAGACACCTTGTGGGAGTGTGGAGGGCCACCAAACTGCCTTGAAGACATCAGTGGGCTCAGGACCTGGGGTCACTTATTTTCCTCATGGGTAAGAGCTGAAGGGCCAGTGGATTAGAGAACTGGTCGGAGAACAGATCCAGCAGGTGAAGTGTAGGCAACAAGCCCTCTGGAGATTGGCTCAGACATGCTGCGTCTATTCTTTGGAAGCAGCATATGATGGTTTAGGGCATAGGTTTTGGGAGCCAAAGAAGCTTGGGTTCGACTACTGGCACTACTATTTCTTTTTTTTTAATTTTTTTTTTATTAAATGATAGCTGTATACATTAATGCAAACATGGGGTACAGTGTAGTGTTTTCATATACAACTTGAAATACTTTCATCAAGCTGGTTAACATAGACTTCATGTCATTTGCTTAGTCATTGTGTCAAAACATTTATATTCTAGTTCTAGAAAAGTTCCCTTGTACCCTTGTTAGACAGACCATATCGGTGATCTTTCCAGTCACCCTCCCGGCACTACTATTTCTTACCTATTATTTCTTACCACTGGCAAGTTACTTAAGCTCTCTGTTCCTGGGTTTTCCCATCTGGAAAATGGAGTTAATAATATTTAACCCTAAAGTCTGACGAGAACGAAACCAGTTAATACCTGCAGCTCAGAAAGGTGCATAGGAAGACATCAGCACTCACAATGTTAGCCATGGTTATCCTTTCCCTGCTTGCATTTGGCTAATGTTAAATAAAACCAGTGGAAGTTATGGATGGCTCTGACCCACGGCCCACTCACCCGAGAACGTGCCCTTGCTGAGACACTCTTTGATCCGATTGGCCTTCCGCACGTGAAAGGCTTTCGTAATCTCCTGGTTCATGAAGGCTTCCTTGTTCATGATGTTTTCCACCATCATCCTCAGATCGAACATCTCTAGGACCTCTGCGATCTGGGCCAGGCCCACCAAGTCCTTTTCCTTCTCATCCAGTTGCCCCGTGTAAAGAAACCGGAGCAGAGTCCGGAAAGGGCCTGGCTGGACAGAGGAGTCCATCCTGACCACAGTCACAGGGCCTGCGCGCTTCGAAATGGGATTGACTTGCATTTCCTTGTGCATGCCGACAAAACCCTTACTCCAGCCTGACAGAGTCTGCGTCTCGGGAGCCAAGCCCTCAGCTTCCAGCCCCACCGTCTCCGGTGGGGTCCGGCTGGAGGACTCCCACTGCTCAGCCTGCGGGGTCCTGGGGGGGCCGTCCTCCCCTCTCTCGTCTGAGTCAACACTCACTGTCCGCCCCTGGAAATCCCTACCCTGCTTCTCATTCTCACAAGCTCCTTCACCCCAACTTGGGGATTCTTCACATTCCATTAGAAACAGATCATAAAATTTGGAAGAAGAGGTAGCGAGGTAAATTCGATGTGCAAAGATGTGCTCCCGGTCCTGAAGGACGAACAGGACGTCGGCGCACAGAGGATTGTCCAGTAAACAGGCAGCTTCATTCGTCCCTGTGGAAGGACACGCTGGAATTTTGATGACCGGTGGGGGGGCTTTTGGAGGTAGGAAGGGTGCCTGAAGTAAAGGTTTCTGGACTTTCTTTAAGTGGGATTTCCAGAACTGCAGGTGGCGGCGGGAAATCAGCGCTGCCCGGATCGCATTGTCAAACACGTCCTTGATTCCAAACTGGTCAAACACACTTGTTTCATAGTAAGGGATGCCAAGTTCCTTCGCAACCTCTCGGCCTTTTTCTGGGGGCAAAATATCCCCTCTCTTTATGGGCCTGAAATAGAATATATACAACATTATAACCAGCCTTATTTTAGGAAAAAAATGGTAACCAGGACCGTCGAAGCATCTAATCGAAGTATACGTTTCAAATCCTATTTAGGCTTTTACTTAAGCCTTTTGAAAAATCTACTAGTGGGTGGTGCTTGTAGCTCAAAGGAGTGGGCGCCGACCCCATTTGCCGGAGGTGGCTGGTTCAAACCCAGCCCTGGCCAAAAACTAAAAAAAAAAAAAGAAAAAATCTACTACAACTCTCAAGTCTTTTTCAAAAGTGAAGGAATTATGTTTCAAATATTTCAGATTCAGTGCAGTTATTTTATATATAATTTGTGAAACCCGTAAATACTCCATACTTTTATATTACTGTAAATGGTATTGTATTTTACATTTTCCAATTATTCATTTCTTAGTGTATAAAAATATATTTTTGTGCACTGACCTTTTATCCTGTGGTTGCGCTAAATCAGTATATTAGTTTTGGTGGCTTTTTTGTGGATTCTGTAGGACTTTTTCATTTATACATAACCATGACACATGCAAATAGGGACAATTTTACTTCTTCAAAAAAGAACACGTGGCTCACCGCCTATAGCTCAACCGGCTAAGGCTCCAGCCACGTACACCTAAGGTGGCGGGTTCGAATCCCCAGCCCAGACCCGCCAAACAACAATGACGGCTGCAACCAAAAAATAGCCGGGCG